GGCTGCTCACTGCAAAAAAGTAGCGGGGAGGGGGGAAACAGTAGCAAGTGGACCCACGTCTGGGCGAGCAGAGGGAGCCCTCTTCTTATTTTCCATGAGAAAAAAACCAAAATCAAACACGAAAATAGGGGGGTATTTAGTATTAATTTTATTATAAATGACTGAGGCACTGGTAGGCTTCCAAATTGTTTTAAAATTGTAAATATCTCAATTAAAAAAATGTGTTTACCCGATACCTATATACAGTGGCATTTCATTTAATCACAGAAAAACACAGATTTGGGAGTTTATCAGAACATTTCAGATTTTGTAAGAGACAAACTAGGATCATTCAGGCCCCAGCTCCGGTAAGAGACGCACGGGTGGAAGCCCGTTGCGCCACTGAGAGCCCAGGGACCCTCAGGACCCCCAGCTTACCCAAAGGTAAGCAGGGGCCTGTGGTGGGAGGGATGTAGCCCAGCTGTGGGGCAGCTGAGTGGAGCCAAGGAGGGTCATGCCCTCCTCCCCCGGCTCCCACTTGGCCCAGCCCGGCACGGAGCCACGCAGCCGGAGCCTCACGAACAGGACGTGCAAACAAGCACGCTTTTGGGCCGGTGTAGTAGTTTCATGTGGGAGTTTGTGCAGCAGGGTGAAAAGGAGGGCCCAAGGCCCTGCCAGTGAGTCCTAGGGAAGGCAGTCCCATCAGTAGGCGGGCTACCAGTGACACAATGCGGATGGGCACACGCCGTACCCCAAGGGTCCCCTCGGAGTCTGAGGCCTCCACCCAGACAGAACCCATGGTTCTAGGCTCCACGCACACAGAGCCTCTGGCTCTCGGCTGCAGGGGCTGCCTGGCACATACCCAGGCACATGGGACTGGGAGCATGGCCACCTCCCCTTGTGACATTTGCTTCACTTTGGAGTCTCTGGGGCGCCAGACAGAGAAGCTCCAGGCTGCAGTCCAGAGACCATGTGCCATCAGGGATGGCAAGCAGGAGACAGACTCCTACTGCCAGGCCCTTCACCCCCTGGAGGCGGAGGGTAGACCAAGGTCGCTTTCCAGGACAAGGGAGGACTCGAGGATCTCCAATACTGTCCAGCCAGGGGGTTGGACCAAGGTGGTCAACAGCCCCAGGGCCTGCTGCACCAGGGTCCCCTCCTCTCTGGAGCTTTGCAACAGGCACGAACATCTTGCAGCCCCAGCAGAGCCTGCAGAGTTGCCAGCTCCTGCAGGCAACGCAGGCTCACTCACATCTACTGTCCCTGTTCTCACTAAGGCCACTCGTAGAGTGTTTGTCATGGGAGACCCCTTCCTGAGGGGGACTGAGGGCACGATCTGCCGCCCAGAACCCTTAGCCTGGGAGGTCTGTTGCTTCCCGGTAGCCGAGAGAATCCCAAAACTCATCTGGCCCACTGACCACTACCCTATGCTCCTTATCAACATGGGCACAAATGACATGGCTCAGAGCAATCCCAGCCGGGTCATGAGGCGCTACAGGGCTTTGGGAGTGGGGCTTAAGGTACTGAAGGCACAGGTGGTGTTTTCCTCAATTCTCCCTGTCTCGGGCTATGGGCGGAGGAGGGAGAGGAAGATCAAGGTAGTTAACCAAAGACTGCGGTGCTGGTGTCATCGGGAAGGCTTCGGCTTTCACAATCACAGTCTGCTCTTTGGTGAGAGAGGCAGTGAGCTGCTGGAAAGGGATGGCCTCCACCACACTGCACTGGGGAGGAGGCTCTTGTCAGCCAGACTGGCTTTAAACTAAGCACACCGGGGGATGGGGGGTCCCAACTGCCACAGCAAGCCTGCTGGGCAACTTTTGCAAATCCAGCAGGCTAAGGCACTCAAGGGAACCCACCCCTACCCCAGCCCCAGAGCAATCCATAAGGCAGGCAAGGGACCCCAATCGGACATGTATGTATCTACACCAATGCCAGGAGCTTGGGGAATAAACAGGAGGAAAGGGTCCTCCTGCTAAACAAGAATGACTATGATGTCACAGGGATAACTGAGACCTGGTGGGACTTCACCTATGACTGGGCCACAGGTATAGATGGCTACACCCTGTACAGGTGAGATTGTGTAGACACAAGGGGCAGGGGTGTAGCTCTCTACATTGAGGAAAGCTACATGTCCCTGGAAGCCAACACTGGCATCTGGGGTGGATGACTGGAGACTCTCTGGGTTAAAATCCATGGTGAACGTAGCACAGGAGACACAATGGTGGGAGTCTACTATAGACCTCCTAGCCAGGATCAAGAGCTCAACCAAGAATTTGCCAAGCAACCGGCTGAGGCTGCCCGCTCCCGGTACACGGTTGTCATGGGAGACTTCAACTACCCAGACATCTCGTGGGAAGAGCACTCGGCCACATCCAAATGATGCAAAGCTTCCTCATGAGATCTATCTGACTTAAGAAGTCTATGGGCTGATGAGAGGCAAAGAACTGCTTGACCTGGTACTGGCAATGGGGGATGACTTAATCAGTGAACTAACGATCGAAGGGAAGCTGGGAGACCATGACCATGAGCTGATCCCCTTCACCCTCCGCGGTAAGGCTGGCAAGTCAGTCAGCAATGCAGATGTCCTTGACTTCAGGAAAGCTGACTTTGACAAGCTAAGGAGGCTTGTTGGCGAGGCCCTAAGGGACCACAATCTGAAGGGGAGGGGAGTTCAGGACGAGTGGTTGCGCCTCAAAGGAGTGATCCTGGAAGCACAAGCAATGTCTATCCCATCTCGGAGGAAAGGGAGCAAAAGGGCACAGCAGCCCCCTTGGCTCTGCAGGGAACTAGTGGACCTCCTGTGTCTAAAAGAAAGACCTATAAAGGATGGAAGACTGGATCCACTTCAAAGGAGGAGTATTCTGCATTGGTCCGAACCTTTAGGGAGTGAACCAGGAAAGCCAAGGCTGTGACTGAACTCCAACTGGCTACAAGTTCTTTTTTAGATATGTGGGGAGCCAGAGGAAAAGCAAGGGTAACACTGGACCCCTGCTAAACCATATGGGACAACTGACGCCCAGGAAAAGGCCAATGTACTAAATAAGTATTTTGCGTCTGTTTTTCACCAGCCCCAAGGGATGGCCCTGCTCAATACAGTATGGGACGGCCAGGGTGAGGGAGAATTGTTACCCTTCATCAATGTAGTTCATCAATGACACTAAACTTTGGGGTAAAGCATCCACACCCGAGGACAGGACGGTGATCCAGGCTGACCTTGACAGGCTCAGAAAATATGTGCACGAAAACCTAATGGCTTTCAACACTGAAAAATGCAAGGTACTCCACCTTGGGAAGAAAAACCTGCAGCATGCTCATAGGCTCGGCAGTGCCATACTTGCTAGCACCATGGCCAAAAGGGACTTGGGGGCCATGATTGACCAGAAGATGAATATAAGCTACCAACGTGAAGTTGCAGCTGGTAAAGTGAGCAAAACTCTGGCTTACATCCATAGATGCTTCTCTAGCAAATCCCAGGATGTCATCCTCTCACTGTACTCGGCCTTGGTGAGGCTGCAGCTGATGTACTGCATCCAGCTCTGGGCTCCACAATTTAAAGATGTGGATAAGCTTGAGAGAGTCCAGAGGAGAGCTACATGCATTATCAGAGGGCAGAAGAACGGACCTTAGGATGAGAGGCTGAGAGCCATGGGACTTTTCAGCCTGGAGAAGCACAGGCTCAGGGGGGGACCTTGTGGCTGCCTATAAGTATATAAGGGGTGTACATCAGGATCTGGGGTAATGCCCGTTCACCAGAGAATGCCCTAAGGGATGACAAGGTCAAATGGTCACAAACTCTTCCAAGACCATTTCAGGCTGGACATAAGGAAGAACTTCTTTGCTGTCTGAGCCCTGCGAGGCCTGGAACAGACTGCCGCCATAGGTGGTGCAAGCACCTACTCTGGACCCCTTTAAGAGACATTTGGATGTTTATCTTATCTTGCTGGGATCCTTTGAACCCAGCTGACTTCCTTCCTGCCTCTGGCTGGCTGGACTCAACAATCTTCTGAGGTCTCTTCCAGCCCTAATGTCTATGAAATCATGGGTCACCAGATTCCTCCAGGAAGTTCTAGTGTGCTTAGGATACCTGGAGTCCCACTGGCCTGAGGGGCCATTACTTCCAGATGCCTTTGCTGTTGTAGAGTTAGTTGATTGCTCCCATCACAGGTTGACAATGCCCAGGGGTGCCCAGCCCACCAGTGGCCCCTTATTTCTGCTACTGCGGGTTGCAGTTGTCCTGGCCCTAGAACACAATGATAATTAGCAGTTCTATCCACTCCCCAAGTTCTCTGGTTAAGCCATATCCCAGAACATAAAGATATACATAGCTACGGTGACTACATGGGACAATATGAAATCTAGAACACTGCTCCCCTCTACCCCAGCTGTTGCAGACAGAGGTGGGGGCAGGGTATCACTGGAATTACTATTCAGACAGCAAAGGAGTCAATGGCTCATTAACACCTGTGAAGTAAAGAACAACAGGTCATTAACAGTCCCCTTTATAAAAGGCTTTCAACCAATCAAGCAAACCTGTTAGGGCAATTTTGCTAGGGCAGCAGTTCCCAAAGTCTGGGAGGCTGGAATACCATCAATTTGAAATGATACAGCTTTAAGTACCACCAGTAAATTTTTCATACACATAGATCACGTTATTTTAATGCATAGTCTGTTACCTACTCAGGTCCCTTCCGACCCTAGAAACTATGAAATATCAAAACAAGTAGTAATCATAAAACATTGTTTTATCAGCTGTGGTAGCCATATAAATCAGTTGTACATTGGAAAAGAGGTAGTGCAAACCAGGGGCAGGCAACATTTTTGGGCAGAGTACTGAAAAAAATCTGCAAGGTGCTGGAGCATGGCCACACCAGACAAAACAAAACTGGGGTGAAGAGTACGCGGCAGGACACAGTGCATATTCATATAATTAACAATCATAAATGTTGCTTTTTTTAATAGTAAATACCAGGGTTTCTAAATACTCTAAGCCTGGGGACAACCAATAGAACTTCACGTACCACCTGTCCTCGTGGGCCTTCTTTTTGGTTAAGCATGTTGTGATGGTGGGGAAGAGAGAAGAGGGAGCAGAGGACGAGTTGAGAGAGAGCTAGAAAGAGAGAGGAGAAGGACGGCGGGCGCGGAGCGGGGGCTGTGCCGGAGCTCCGCAGACTCGGGCCGCAGCGGGCGACCTCAGCAGTACTGGAGGTGAGGTGAGGTGAG